TATGCAAAAGAGAACAAATTTATCTCTAGAGAAGTATTCAGAGGGAAAAGTTATTCTTCTCTAGGACTGGGCCACCATACACTAGTTACTTAATGATTTTTGGTGATGATAGTAAAGAGGCAATCGAAACATCATAAGACATTATTTCTATGTAATCACTCCGCAATATTTGTTCCTGAACATATTTAGTTCATCGGGTCCCATTTCGAGACAGTAATCAATTACACATACTACCATTGCAATATCTTAATTAATCTCGATTTCATCATTCCAAGTTATGTTCACTTTCAACTAGAACCACTTGCCAATCTTCCATGACAATTAACATGCAATTCAATAATTAGATCGAGAATTTACCAAATTAAAGTAAGGAGCTTAACGTAGCTTAATATGTTGAAATTTTATAGAACTTTGGATCGAGAATTTACCAAATTAAAGTGAGCTTAACATAGCTTAATATGTTGAAATTTTATAGAACTTTGGATCGAGAATTTACCAAATTAAAGTGAGCTTAACATAGCTTAATATGTTGAAATTTTATAGAACTTTGGATCGAGAATTTACCAAATTAAAGTGAGCTTAACATAGCTTAATATGTTGAAATTTTATAGAACTTTGGATCGAGAATTTACCAAATTAAAGTGAGCTTAACATAGCTTAATATGTTGAAATTTTATAGAACTTTGAATTTTAAGAATATGAAAACCTAATTACTTTATTGCCAAGATTATCCATGTCAAACCACCAAGAAATTAATTAATGTCGAACATAACTTAATTCTTTGAGAATGGTTCTTTACTATTGGATCTTGATTCGGGATCTTAAATCTTCAAAATCAACTTGGAATCCCGTCTTGATTGATTTTTTACTTTCAATCTTGAATTTTGCCTCCTTAAATTCTTTGATCTTGTTCTTAAATTTGCTTTTTGATCCAAATCTTGATTTTTGTTTGTAGATAACCTGCTCTTAACTATGGGTTTAGGATCTTTCTCTTTAATGTCCTCTCTCTATAATTCTTGTATTAATGAGATGGCACAACGAATGAGAAGTTACGTATGAATTAAGAACTATAACCCTATATATAGTTTCCATATGTATTTCACCCATCATGAAATATAATTTTAAAGGAATTTGGTCTCACATATATAATTCAACTCACACTTTATTTAGATGCCCTAAACCCAATCACTTAATTCTTTATTAGATCACTTTTAATTTTGGGCTTAACTTTAAAATAACATTTATACACAATTAATTACATATATCAGCCCATATGGCAAATCAATAATTTTCCAACGATCTCCCACTTGGACCACCTATGTTACCTTATAGATGTGTCTAACCTTGCGAGTTCAATAATTTTTCTATCATAACCAAAATGCATCTCCGAATGGAGAAATTTCATAAGTAAAAGTTTAAGTATCACATATTTCAAAATTAAGAAAACAAGTTTCAAATTTCAAAAATCAGATTTGTATTGAAATTTATTTATGATTTAAAGAATTAATATATTATTTTATTAATTAAATAAATTTTTTAAGTCACGATTCTATACAATTTCGTCATAAATTAACAATTTAATTAGTCATTTATTATTTTTTGCTCACAAATAAAAAAATTTATGTCACAAATTATTTTACGATTACAATTCAAAAATTTCGCAGGTCACATTTTTGTTCATCGATTACAAATCAAAAAATTAACTTGTCACGGATTAATTTTTAGTAACAACTTATCAGTTTATTGGTCACAACTTATTTCTCGTTCACAAATCAAAAAATTTATAGGCCATATATTATTTTTCGATCACGAATCATAAAATTTATAGGTCACAAATTATTCGTCAGTTATAGAATCAAATTTTTTATTGGTCACAACTCATTTATTCATTGCATATTATTAGATTAATTAGTCACGATTAATTTTTTGATCACAACTTAATTGCCTGTAAGTCACAGATTAACTAAATGATCACAATCAACCAGATCATTTGTGACCACCACCACCAACACTTGTGAACACTACCTCACCAATGTTATCAGCCGCACCACCACCAAAATCGTCGCCGCCATAACCACCACACCCCACCCCACCATAAATGCAACCACTATTGTTGCCACCATCGCTAGATACACCGCCAGATTCATCTCCACCAACACTAGATTCACCTCAGCAGTGTCTAATCCATCACCACCGATAATAAAATCCATCCCAACATAACCACACCATGGAAAAAACCACCACCAACAAACTCATTGCTACCGCTATTCACAACCAGTGCCACTGCCACCACGATTCCTACAACCAATACCACTGTATCGATTCGCGAGTTCGCACCACGTGACCTCACCACCACCCAAACCACCACCACAAAATCATCTAAAAACTACCATATACACCACAAAACCAAAATAAAACCACCAGAAAAACAATATAAAACCCCAAATCCATCGCAAAACCACCACCATAAACCACTAACCCATCACCCTGCAGAGACCGTTGTATACAGAGTGTCGTGCACTTGCGACCAGAGCGACGACACTCTGAGCTTGTTGCTACGCAAAGTGGAGGAGAACGATGACGGGTTCGTCCTCACATCTCCAGATCCACCATCATCTCCACCATCGCCACCCGCCGATGAGAAAGACAATGGGTAGAAGGCTTGTGCTTGGTGGTGGATGAGTCGCCGGAGACCGAGAGACGGGAGAAAGCAGACGTGGAATGGTGACGGGTTCGCCCTTACATCTCTAGATCCACCATCATCTTCACCACTGCCATAACGACCATTGCCACCCGTCGATGAAGAAGAAAATGGGTAGAAGGCTCGTGTTGGCGATGGACGAGTCACCGAAGAATGAGAGATGGGAGAAAGCAGACGTGGAGAGAGAGAATAAAAAGGAAAAGTGATTAGGTTTATATTGAAATTGAGTTAGGGTTTGGAATGAAATAATTTATATTAATTAATTACTAAAATATCTGATTTTTAAACAATGAAATATTCAATCTGATTTTAGAATTATGAGTTTTTAAACTAGGCTTTGGTGTAATTTCCACTCTTCGAATTATCTCGTCCATTAATTATACTAAAGCTAAGGAATTTATTTTTTCGGCAATTCAGCTCGTATATTATTACAAAGTCATCAAGAATAATTTTTTTTTCTACTTGTATATTTTGCTTTTTTGTCCATGAAAATTTTTTCAATATATTTTCTAAATAATAATAATTTCTAAGATAAAATGCCGAAAAAGGAGGTTCGTTGAAAAATAAAATTAATTACTGATCATTCACATTGTGAAAAGGTTGGCGCAACCAGAGTAAGAAAAATACGTCGAGGACGTAAAAGGCGTAAAGGTTAGGGACCCAACAGGTAAATTTCTGTTTTTATTTACGTTAAGGTAGGTCAATTTTTTTACACATTCCCAACGGTAAATTTCTGATTTTATTTACCCTAAGGTAGGTCGATTTTATTAGACATTCCTCCGAGGCACACTCAATTCTCAAGCAATGGCACTGAGAGAGAGACGAGATGCGTTGGCGAGTGAAGACGGCGGCCCACCGGAGGTCACTCTCCAGACCTCCATGGGCTCCTTTACAGTTGAGGTGACTACTCTCTTCACACAAATCCATCCGTATTAGTACATTTTTCGTGCTCTACTGTTAGATTTTTTTCCCTAATTAACGATACAAAAATTGATGAAAATATGGCAGATGTACTACGACCATGCACCCAAGACTTGCAGGAACTTCATAGAGTTGGCTCGCAGAGGCTATTACGATAACGTCAAATTCCACAGAATCATTAAGGTCTCTTTGTTTGTTTAGCTAATCGCTATTCATATGTGTATATGTAAACATTTCTAACATTGAACTGATAATTTTTATGTGATATTGGAGTTCAGGATTTTATGGTGCAAGGTGGGGATCCAACAGGGACTGGCAGGGGCGGCGAATCAATTTATGGGTATTTTTTTTTTTAATAAAATGTATTTTCTAATTTTAGAGTGTGCCTTGCCCTTGGTTATTTTCCAATTAATGTTTTCTTTTGGTTCCAAATACTTCTCAATTTCGTAGGATTTTTATAGATCACCCTTTTATGGTTTTTAAGGCTTCCCCCTCCTCACCCCCCTCCTTTCTCAAAGGAATTTGGGTTAATGCTTAAATTACTCTTATAGATAAAAATAGATGGTAAAATGTCATATTTCCGAATAGCTTGGGGCGGCGAATGCTTTAAGGTTTTTGTTTATAATGTCAATAAGCATCAAACATATTTTTTTAGGAAACTTTAAAATTGTAAAAGGGAGAATATTTGGTGCAAAACAAACCTGGAATTTCGCCCTAATTTTTAATAAAAGAGTTGTGTCTGTAATAGTTTCTATTTGAGTGTCTCTTCAAATATCTCTCTTAATATGTTTATAAACTGAGACAGTATGTTCTTCCTACCAAATGTATTAGGGATCGATTTTTTTGGCTTTTCTTATGTTTAATTCTTTACTAAGATACATACTCATCTTACTATGTTAGTTTGTGCATAATGTTATTGTTTAGCATTTTTAATGATAATGATGATTTTTCTTGTGATTATAAATTGAAGAATTTTAGTTCAATTTTCAACATTCAGTTGTTTTTTCCTTCTATATTTGTTTAATTTCATTGTTGCAGGAAACACTTTGAGGATGAGCTAACCCCAAAGTTAAAGCATACTGGAGCTGGAATTATATCCATGGCAAATGCTGGTCCGAATACAAATGGAAGTCAATTCTTTATTACATTGGCACCAGCACAGTCACTCGATGGTAATTATATTGTTGCATTAGAACTTGCTTGTAGTGTGTCAAACAGGTTACTCTCAGTAGCAAGGCTGAGGAGAATACATTGTATGATATTTAGCCCCAATTTGAGCTTCATTCTTTTACATTATTTTCCATTATCTTTTCTACAGTACTCATTATCAACCACACATTCTTCATTAAAATAATATTACGCGCAAATAAAAAACTTTTCATTCTTTTTTAACCACACATTCTCCACGATCACTATTCCATAATATATTTCTTCAAATTAATGGGGCTCAAATGGGCCCTACTGTCAATGGCTCCAGTTTATGTTTTTAATGAATTATTTTCATAACTGTTGGAGATGGTTATCATGATCCTGGGAAATGGGATTGCAATCGAACTTGATCGTCGAATAGAATGCTATTAGAGAGTTCCTACTTCCTAGTCTCTGGATTAGTATGGAGCTTTTATTGGATAATGTTTTGCTGTTTGGACTTGACCGGTGACATTCAGTCACTTGATTATTTTCTGTGTTGTTCACAAAGTTCTTGAAACCTTCTTGTTCATCCAGTCTGCTAAATACATTGTCATCACCATACATTTTCAGACGTTAGTATTTACAAATAAGTTTCAATTTCCTCTCTCTTTGTATGAGTAGAATTTTTCTTGGTATATATTATCAATGATTCATTAACAAAATTATAGTAGGCATCTTGAAACATATATATATTTTTTGATGATCGTGGTTGTCCGGGCCATCTTTCGTGCATCTCGACTAATCTCATGGGGTCCTGAAGTTTATAGTCGGATACTCACCTTAGTGGCTCTGAGGGGACTCGAACTGGTGATCATTGGAGAGCAAACTCAAGGCCTAATCACTGAGTTATCCCGTATGGTTAGGCATCTTGACATATTGACAGTGTTTCTTTGTTCATTTCTTGGATCAAAAGGTAGAAGTGGAAGTTTTAGTGTATCTCTTGCTCCACTTTCTCTTTAGGTTTTAGAAGGAAAAAAATCCAGTGGCACTTCTAGCAATTATATAGATATGTTGCTTTGGTTCCTAATAATCTAAATATCATGTCATGTACCTTTTCTATAACATGCTTTTATTCTTCTTGTATGCTCTATCTTGATTTGCTAATTTTCATGATATTGGAATATGGGTTATAGCACGATAATTGTTTATATGGTCTGTGGTTAGAATACGTGTGCTGAAAGTCTAAATAAGTAGGAAAAAAGTAATTAAAATTAAATAAAATAAATTAGACTTTCAAGATTTGCATGGTTACACCCTGTTCCTGAATAATTCTAAATGACCCCATTCAATCTCTTCATAGTAGCGACCTGGACTTATCCCGTGAATTTGACTGCTGGATCTTAGTGGACCTATATCTGCCTTACTATTTTAATACACGTGTTGGAAATGTTTTCTACATTTGGACTACAACTTAAAGTGGCTAATGGCATTTGATAGAACCATATTCTATACAACCTCCCAGCAACATGGATCAAAAAGGTGTCATCTGGCTGAAATAGCATTCATGTGCAGACCTATATGATGCAACTCATGAATGAACTGCCGAAAATTTTTTTCTGCAGGCAAGCATACAATATTTGGGAGAGTATGTAGAGGAATGGAAATTATCAAGAGACTTGGCAGTGTTCAAACTGACAACACCGATAGGTATGCCTCTTTCCTGAATATTTTCTTGATCAGTTTTTTAAACAAACTATTAAATGAAATAGTAACCAAATTTGGAAAATAATTTCAAGTCGCACTCTTAATCCTCGGAAAATTTAGAAAGTAAGTTCCACTTGCATCTTTTATTTAAAAGAACCGTCAATAAAAATAGTTGTGGATCTGCTTTGACTGCACCAGTGGAGTTGGCTTTTTGCTCATACAATTTAACCATTAACAATAACCAGGGATCAGATTTATGAACCCATTTTTTCACTCTCTTCCCATTTAAACATGTTTCTTCGTGTTCTTAGACTCGGCCTTTACAATTCTACCTCGTAAAGATGTTAGTACATCAGCTATATGGTATTTTATTATTTGTGTTCAGTAGCAAGGTTAATTCCTTGATGTTTTGCAAAGATTCAATTTTCTACACCTTTTGTCGCAACATCCCGAAGCTCATAGATTACTGTTAACCTTTGCTCTGTCTAATTCAGGCCCATACATGATGTGAAGATTCTAAGGGCAACAGTCAAAGACTAAATTGTTATCCTATCGACTTGTAAGTGCTGAAGTTCACATGATCTATGTAGTGGTTGGCCTGTTGTTTGATAATGAATCAAGCTACAATTTTTGTTAGCTTGTACGTATTGGAAACGAGATTCTAAGTCATGTAGTAAAACATGCCATGAATGTTGGGAGAACGTTCTTGTGAAAACCGTGAGGTGTTATTATTTAAGCTTTATTTTCCTGATTTTCCTTCTCTATTCCAGTTCTTGTTTCTTTTAGCTTTAATTCATAATTAATTGTGCATGGTAGGATCTAAAACTGATGTGTAGCCCCATTCTACTGCCACAGAAAGCTTTGATATTGAACAGAACAACTCGTCTACATAATCTAATCATGATTTTTTTGGTCTGCTGGAAACTGAAATCATTCCATTGTGGCCTGGGGCTCATTTTTTAAGCTAATTTGCAAGCAGGAGGATATGAGTTCAAGCTTACTAGGGTCAACTGCAAAACTGGATATTTCAAAACTGTGTTGTTCCTTCCATGCGTTTCCCGCCTATTCAGATTGTGACTTCTTGATTTCAATGAATCATGCAATCCCTGCTGAGAACTCCAAAAGCATTTTTTCCCAAATTTTGAGCTCCAGACTGCGGGTACATCGTGATTAAGTGTATAAATCTTATTGTTAACATTCGTTGGCAATTGTTATAAAAAAGAACGATGCTGGTGGCATCAGTGCCCATTGCAATCATCTCTATTTTTCTTAACTAGCTCCGATAGAACTATTGATTGTGAAAGAAATATTTGGTCTTTTATCTGGGAAATGAAAATAGGCAAACAAGCATACAGAGGTTCTCTCTAGACGATCCCACAAGGGGTAGAATGCTAAGACTTCCTATTGAAAGCCCATCACTTTGTAATAGCTACATTTCTGTATTTTGGGCAAATGAATTTAGCTTTTACTACACTATAGAATCTTCCAAAATGATTACAGCCCTGCTATATGCATTGCTGCCAAAGCAAACTCCACCTTCCAATATCCATGGATGTTATAGAACCTCATCAATTATATGATACAAGCTGCTTCAGACATCTAATCGACAGATGTAAGCTCACAAATGAATCACAGAATCAATCCATATATTATTTAACAAGAATAAAAGCCAAGATAATAAGATGAACCAAAAGAATAATATTAGCAAAAATCAGCGTCTGTTATAAATGATTTCAGATTAGAAAAATATCATAATTACATTATAGCAGCAATTGTACTGCTGCAAGCATACCTCAGCCGCCTCCACCAAGCAGCCCTCGTCTTTATACAAATACCACAATGTGTGACAGTGTGAGGGGCACAAGCATTTTACGGTTCCAGTTTGATGGCTTCTGAAAAACTCTCCTGAGCAAGCCTCCCCTTGTTCTGCATCTGGAGGCAAATCCCTTTGCCTATGTGAGCTTCAGCATTTTTAAAATCCTTCTCCAATACATTCTCGTAGATAGCAAGTGCATCCACAAACTTGCGGAGAATGTTGGCATAGGCTACATCATCTTTCCCTTCTACATTCTTCTCCATAGGAATTATGCACCCTGGAGACCTTCTGTTCCCAGAAGAAGGCTGCCCTCCTTTTGAGGAAACTAGATCGTCAACTGGGTCCCTTTCTTTTCCATTGTCAATGAACTTTTCAGTCCGCACCATCTAATCTAATTCCAAAACACAGACGCCTGAAACAAAATCATCTACAGTAAGAACATTGACAACCATGTTCTGTAACAAACTTGCTTCTTATTTCAAACACAAATAATAGATAGAAGTCTCCAGATCTAGTAGTGCATCAACTACGTTTTGGATTAGATATTATTGATAGCTAACCCAAAAGTAATTAGGAAAGAGAAAAAGCAACCTTGAGGTACAAAAATGCTGTAACATTTTAAAACCAAGTTCCTTAACTAGGACTTAAATTTATTTATTTTTTTTGGCTATGAATTTTTTTTTATATTGTTAGGTGTTTGGTTGAGTTAAACCATACGATACGTTTCACAAAAAGGATTTTTACTCCTTTAGAGGAAAATGACTTCAAAATTTCAACAATAACCTATAGTTTTCAATGCAGAACCATGATTCCTAAGTCCATTACCATCATGGCCACTGCCAACAGCTACCACCACCTCCATCATCACTATAGTTATCCCCTGTACCGCTGTACCACGAGGTTTTAGCCATTGTTATCACCACCAGACACCACCATAATCAAGAAGACAAAAACCAGATTGCTACCACAACACAGCTTACACCCCTACCCTCTCAACTGGGTCACAGCACCCTATTTTTCCCCTTTTCTTTGTGATAAAAAAAAGAAAAAAAAAGTTTCTTTCAAAGAATAATATTTTATATCACCATTGGTGATTAAAACCAATCTAGGTGGTAGTTACATTTACCAACTTATTATCCAATCAATAAAAATGCATCCAAACTCAATGGACGATAAGTTGGAAGGCCTCACTACCATCTAAGCATAGCCGGTCCTGGGCTGAGGCATTTGAGGCCTACGCCTCAGGCCCAAAACCAAAGGGGGCCTGATTTGGGCCCCTTTTTTTTTTTTTTTTTTTTTTTTTTTTTTTTTGGGTTTTTGGGTTTTAAAAAAAAAATTATTTTTTTTTTTTTAAGGGTTTAGAGAGTTAAAGACAAAATTAGTTTTTCATTCATTTTTCCTCATGCCTGTGATAGTGCGACCGATGATCCATTTTAGTTTCATCAAGACAAGGTCACAAATTTATTAAGACAACTCTAGAGTCTGTATGCCATTTTAATTTTGTATTGTTTCTGTAAATTTGTAATGCTCAAATTTTTGCGTAAATAATCGAAAATGTTATTGGATGTGCAAAATGGAAAATGGGAATTTGTTCAACATATCTTGATCCGAGAATGTGTGTCCTATTTGAACCTGCATCACTTTGGTATCTATTTACTATTTAGCGTCCATGACCGGCATAAGGCAATAGGACATTGTGTAATGATAAAATTTTTATTTTAGGCCTATGATTTGTGACGGTAGAATTCTCAAGGGTGTGATTTCATAATTTTCATCGAAATTTTACTTCTCAATTCAACAATGACTTGGCCTAGCTTGTTATTGAATATGTTGGAAATGTTTGAAACCTTGTTGGCTTATATAATGGTGGCCTGGTCTGCTTATATGATTGATTATTTTATGATCAACAATTGCATATGCGTATGTAGTAACTATATTGAAAACTCTAATTGTGAGATGATTAAGATATTTTGTAATTGTCTTTTAGGTTAATCATTAGGCATTAGGTTGCATAATATACCGTTGAAATAATATATTTGTTAGTTGTTTTAATGTTAAGTTTTAAGTTAGTAATAGGATGCAAGATATACCATTGAATTTTGCATTTACGTTGATTTCGTCGGAGGGCCCAATTTATGGACTCCGCCTCAAGCCCCGACGATCACAGGACCGACCTTACATCTAAGGTGGTTGTAATGCTAACACAGCATTACATTTTTTGTTAAAATCAACCTAGATAGCAGTTGGGTTCACCATCCAGTTATCCAGAAAACGAAAATGTGTCCCAACTCAACGAACGATAATTTAGTATACCTCACTACCATCTAAGGTGGCACTGTTGTACATAGCATTATTCTTTGAATTATAAAGAGCAGTGCTATTTAGTACCACTTGTGCTAAGTACCAATTTAAGTGGCATTCAAATGTCATTAATTAATATATCATCTTAAAAGTAAGGATATGAGGCCCATTTAAGAGGTAACCAGTGTCATAACACCGTTGGTGCTAGAAAGCATTATTTTTTTTCAAATGTAAATATGTTGAAGAGTAAATGCTTCACAAAGCTGCTCGTCGTTGAACTAAGCAATTACCACGTGCTTCATGTTGGTAAAAATTTAATTGTTAGTATATGGAGTGGAATCGAATTTTCATATACTGTATATATGATTTAGACACCGAATTCACGTTTACCGTATTTGACAAGTGCTTACCGTATTTGACAATTTAATTCACCGTATGTAGCAGCTTACCGTATATGCCAGGCAGCTCACCGTATTTGCACCTTACCGTATTTGTAGCTTACCGTATATGCTGCCTACCGTATTTGCAGAAAGCTCACCGTATATGAGAGCTCACTGTATTTGCGGGCGAAACTCACCGTATTTACACAAAATTTGCATAAAGTGTTTTTATTCATACACCAACTAAAATAACACAAATTTTTTTACTTACAAATAGAAATACCGTATATGTGAAATCTATTTTTCACACATATAACGAATTGAAAAAGAAAACGTGTATTTTATTTTATTTTTTTCTTTTAGAAATCTATTTCTAACATAAATTTAACAAACAATATATGAGATGTGTAAATCGCTAAATAAATAAATTTGCAAGAATAAAATGAAAACTAAATAAATAGTAGATAAATTTTCAACTCGAGGCCTGTGCGAATATAGTTTCCTTAAAACAGATTCGCCCCCTGACCGTAAGTGTTTGAGGTCTAGTTCGAGCGTCTGTTTCTCAAGATACAATGGCAAAATCAGCAGAATTTAAGCACTACAGAAACTACTCCAACGAATGAACAGTATCACCACCACCACGACTAAGAAGACGACGACAGAATTTGAGAATTTTCATGCAGAGAGAAGTTCGTGTGTTTTCCTGGTGAGATTTTTCATATGTTTTATAGCTGGAAAACTTGAAATTTAATATAGCATAAATCTACCATTAACTCTATGACAATTAACATTGGAGTCACTTCAATTTCCGGGAGTTTTGGAAGTTTTAGAAACTCAAAAGTCAGTGGAGAAGGCAAAAAAAAAATTGCAAAACGTGGGCTCTCCGGAGGGGCTAATTTTTGCTTTGTTCGGTCTGACATTCATGTACGCAGGTCGCACCCGCATACAAGTTCAAGGTCCGAAGGCAATTTCAATCTGAGATTTGCACCCCCTGCGCACACACGTGGAGAAAGCATCTATGCTACACATGATTACACCCTTCCAATGTCCAACTTTATTTAAAGTGATTCTTGCTTTTATATTTTTTTTTTATATGGGACTAACTTCAATTTTTTTTCACATAATCATCTTCCAATGGTCATCTTTGAGCTCCAATTTCTCATTCATCTATTCATCAATTTTGACAAATAAATATATGCTTTCGATGCTCTCACGGAGGAGAACAAGGATCAACTTTGATCTTCCAAATTGGACCAACGGGTCTCACCGAAAATCTTGCCAACAATCCCCCACATGAATGAAAATTGGGAGAGACATGAGACCATGAGATACGAGACTTGATGACCGTGAGATACAGGACTAGGTGATAATGTTCAGTGGTTGAAGCCTGCATAGGATAGGTAGGTATCACCCTTTGAACCTCCTTTGTGAAAGCATATTTACTTTACTAGCTGACCAGTAGACATGTTGTCCTTGAACTATTCTGCTATTTATGTAAATGATGATATACTCTACACAGAATTCTTCCTAACACAATTCAGTTCTCATTGTTATGTTCGTTTTGGTCATGAATATATGCCTGGTTCTGTGAGAGTTCTTAAAAATTGAGCCACACACAATTCTCTTAGAAGCGGTCTCACTTCTCTCTCACATAAGTGATTTCTTATTATAAGTAACCTGCATTACTTGGCTCGAACTTCGACGCATAAGAATCATTAAAAGCCAATTGCTTATCGTTCATCCTTACGGACATCACTGTT